ACTATCTATTTCAATGAAAAATGAATATAAAATAAATAATAAAATAAAATAAATAAAATATAAAAACTTACTAAACGACAAGCTTACAGCTCGATATTCACTGGGGCCAGCTTCACCATTTTTGTTACTTTCTCCATGGGTAGNTGGAGAAGTACCTCCATGCAGGTGCAAGCCCTTGAAATTAGTTTGAACTGCTTTATCAATCATCAGCAGCAGCAAAACCAAAAACAGTTGTATCACATACATTGTTGAGCCATGGTGACTTGATGTACAAATATTTGGTTTAGAAAATATTGTTGCAAGTGGCCAGGTAATAGCTGAAGACCAAAGTGAGACACTGTTATGTTGAACAGAGACTACAATAATAACCTGAAGTCTGAATATTGGGGACTTCATTGAGTACAGCTGGGCTACTTATATAGGTTGGAAACAACAAGGGGCAAAGAACAACAAGAAGACAATAAGAACAATAAGAACAATAGGAACAATAGGAACAATAGGAACAGTAAGAACAATAAGAACAATAGGAACAATAAGAACAGTGAGAACAATAAGAAGAATAGGAAGAATAGAAACAATAAGAACAATAAGAACAATAAGAACAATAGAAAAGATAGGGGTAGGATGATGACAATAGGAAAAATAAGAACAATAAGGATGTTGGAATAATGGAAACAGGTGACAGGAACAGAATCAATTCTAACAAATATAATTGGATGGCTAGAACAAAGAATATTGGTAATTAAAATTCTTTTCTAAAATTGTTCTTTATATATCCTGTTGCAAAAAAAAAGAGGACTCGTACCTGCCGTGCTTGCAACGGCCTCCTACACAAGTCAAATATTTCTGACCACTTTCACTTGACTAGGATATTTTTGAACACAATTTATCTACCCAAAAATTTCTGGTCACAATATTAAAGGTCAAACATTTTCTACCCAATCCAATATTATATTTTCTCCCAAGGCAAGAAAAATAAATGGCCGCACAACCTATTAGCCTGGATACATTCTTACATTTTACAAGGCTAATAGCTTGTTCAAGGTGGGTGACTGAAGTGTTACAATCCAAAATCATATATTTCAACACTTTGTAATGCATAACTCTTCTGAAGTGGTACTTATCACTATTTATATACACTTTCTTCCTATCAATGGTCAAAACAATGAGTCTGTATAGCTTTGTCGAAACTCATCAGATAAAGCTATCATCTCAACAGTCTCCAATAACTCTGTCTCTTCACCCTCTTCTTCATCACCCTCATCATCCTCATCATCTTCCTCCTCTTCATTGTCATCATCATATATCTCTCTTTCATTCTCAGCAACCATGGCAGTCATGTCCAACTTACGTGCCTCCATAAGATCTTCCAATGAGGGTCCCCATGAATCTGGCATAGGTTTGTGAGGATCAATCATACGTGTTTTGTCTTGCCAGTTGTTGCATAAGCATGCCAAGAATTCTGCACGCAAGACCATCTGATAGACTACTTCTTCACATTCATTCTTCTCTATAGCCATTGTTACGCATCTCCACTCCTCCATGAGCCAATCTTGCATGGCACTTCTCTCATATGATAGTCTCCTGTCTTCCTCATTACATCTATCCAACTCAAGCATGGATTTTATTCCCTTTCGGACATTTTCATCACCCAACCATTTGGGGATTTCTCCTCCAGGTGAAATATCAGTCTCATCTAGGCCCACATCTTGCCATATGTCATCATCAACATCTAACTTGAACAATCCTTCACTGGCAATAGGATGAGGTGCACGAGCACCATGTGGTGC